GCAAATCAAAAATCACAGATTCCTGCTGTGACTCATATTCCCCCCAAAGTGTTTCCTCTGTTATTTCTTTTTACTTTCCTTGATTCATGTACATATTTATTACCGTCATTAAACCTGAATTGACAGCTTGTTTTCTTGCTTTACTTGGTGGCGGTGAAACAAGTTGTAAACTTTGACATATTATCAACTTATAAAGTTTTTAGGGGTAACACGGTAGGAATGGTTGCTTCGTTACTCTTCCAGCAAACCAGGAGCAGCATTATTTATATTGAAAGTACAATATTCACTGAATTACGAGTCCTGCTATAGCGAGGGCATGACCCGTCGTACTCTGCCTCTGATTGGCTCCTGGCAGGTTCACATCAGTGTGTCCACAGCTGCAGAGACAAAGTTCAGTTCCCAGGCCATTACTGTTGAAGGATCTGTACGATGCCAACAAACGAACCGTGCCCGCTACAAACAACAGGCTTGTTTCAATAATGAACCTCCAGTAATGTATGATCCAGCCAATTAGGGACGAGTGGGAAAGCACTACAGAAAGATGTCGCCCCGCAGAGTAAAACAAATCACCTGAAGTCAGTAGACTGAAGTTAAAAATGATTTTAGCGTCGCTCTCGTGCCTTTGTTGCGGCACACTTCTCTTGAAAAGTCGTTTGGATGGCAAAATGTGGTGGTTAATTAGCTTGATAAATCTTGTGCGCATCCAGCCTGAGGGCAAAGCAGAGAATGAAAGAGGCTGTTCTGAGACAGCCAGCTCTCTGTAAACTCTTACGTAAGGGAGAATCTGCATCCTGTTTCTCTCAGCTACATTATTGATGCAGGCTTCTGTTACCACGCCGAGTGCGTTTGTGTGCGTACGTGCCCGTGAACGTGTACACCTGTAAGTCTCTACCTCTCGCCGAATGCTCTCTCACCTTTGATGCTCTGTAGAAAGGGTGGTCTCCTCCAGCTGATGTGGATTTCTCCCCCTCTCTGCATGCTCTCTTGTTCTTTCTTCGCCTCCTTTCTTTCCCCCCACTTGTATTAATGTAAGTCCTCTTCCTCCACCTCTTCTTTCTCTCGCAGGCCTTTATTTCTCACTAACAGATGTTCTCGGCACCATGTGGGAGGACATTCCTCTTCTCTGCTCTGAAAGCTTGAAAAAAAGAAAGAAAGAAGACTTACATCAAGAAAGGAAAAATCAAAAGAGTATGATGGCAACACAACTCCCTAACCTGCCTCTGTGTTCTGCTCCCCCCTTCAGAGAAGGTGTCAAGTTAAAGATCAGAGTGCTTTTGCCTTTTTATAACACAGCGTTACACAATATCTGAAAGGTCATAGGAGTGCATACACACACACACACACACACACACACACACACTCACAAGCAAAACATTGCATGACTGAGCAGCAAAGACGACTGCAAGTCAAATAGAAAAATGCTCACACACTCACATACACACATAGCAGCAGGTGTGAGGGAGGCAGAGAGAGGAAGCCAAACACATGACTCCTTAGACCTCATGGGTTCTTTAAAATTTCAAACATGCCAAAAGAGCACCGTGGGAGTCCTCCTGCAGGTCAAGAGCGAGGAAGGGATGAGAGGCGGAGGGGAGAGGGGGGAGTGATAGAGAGAGAGAGAGAGAGAGAGAGAGAGAGAGAGAGAGAGAGAGAGACACATAAAAGAACAAAGTCTGGCACTCTGAAGAGCTGAAGGGAATTAGGACAAATGTCTGTTTATGAGTGAATTTTACATTTCCAACTAAAAACAGTGGCCCGAGTGGGAAAACAAGGTGCCCGTGGAATGAGAGTGGGTTAAATATATGTATGTGTGGGGCCATGTACCGACATGGTGGCTGGGCGTTGGATGCTGCAGTAAGGTGACCCACTTACACACAACTCCCCTCTCCTGAACACACACACACACACCACACACACACACACTTACAAATGCCTCTGCATGCTCCTGAACACACTCGCACCTCACCCGCTGGAGGATGCTTTGGCCCCATTTCAGACAGTAATGTGCTTCAAGAGATGTGGGAGATGAGGTGGTGCGTGCGTGCGCGTGTGTGTGTGTGTGTGGCGGGGGTGAAGAGAGGTGTAGTACAGAAGATGTGGGCTTAAGGGATAAAAAAAAACAAAAAAAGGAAACCAGATAGAGGTCACTGAGCAGATGTACTGTAGGTAAGACGTACAGTACACTCCAGGTGGCCCTGTGCATCACACTAAATGAAGAGGGAATATGCTGTACCTTGTTAAAGTGTGTGTCTGTGAACATATTTCCCTCCAAACTAATCTAGTCCAGCCGATGACTCTGTGTACCGCCATGACATTCAGCAGAAAGGTCAACTCCTCGCCGGTATGCAGGAGATAACGGGCCAGACGCATCCACAGTCCCCCACAGACAAACAGTGAGATGATACAAGATAACGCCACACAAATCAAGAGCCGATGAACCTGAATTCATTATGCTTCCATTTCACACAGATATGAATATCTGGTCGGCCTCCAGTGCAGATAGGCGGCTCGCTTTGGAGCGATCGGCTCACTGGGAATTAACTCATTCACAACTTTAGAGGGCTAATAGAAAAGCAGCACGCGTGAGCAGAAGTTAACGGGAGATGTTTAATGTCGCCATCTAGTGGAGAAACTAAATCACGACAGATGTACCGACATTGAGGAAGCTTCAGCACAAGGGAGGGATTTCTACTCCACATATACTAAAGTATGTCATCAGTCAGTACCTCTGAATTTCTATAGAAGTGTAGTGTTTTTAAATACCTTACTTCACTTTATCTTTACAGTTACATGCTGCTATATTAGTGTTCAGAATGTTAAATACAGCTGTGATCTGATATGTGAAGACGTGACAACAATAACTTCCTGTCTTCCGGTGGGATTCATGGGAGGAATGAGGCGATCCAGAGTACAGAGTTTTTAAGCTTTACTCGTGGTACTAAGACTCGGGATCTCTCAATGGAGTTCAGCACCGGCCTAAAACTGAGACCAAAACACATTTTTGTTTTATTTCATTCATTACTGACAGTTAGCTTGCAGGGCCAATGCAAGAAACACTGGCTCCACTCAATCTCTTCCCACTGGGCATTGCAGATCTACTTGCAACAACACATGACATGCAGCGACCCAACCAGAGCCTGAAGCTTTATGCAACAGAAATGGCTCCATCAGGTGGCAGAACACTCGCATCAATTTGACCAGTTTGTTCTGTAATTCTGGCTCAATGGAAGTGTACTGAACCGCTTTAAAAGGACAAGATAGACATTCTCAGAGTTAGATGAGAATGTCCTGTCTGTCCAATTAATGTAAAGCTAGAGCAGCCAGTTAGCTTAGCATAAAGACTAGAAACAGGTGGAAATAGCTAGCCGTGCCTCACGTGTTAATTATTGAGTTTTAATTGCTGGTGGCACATTTTGGACAGAGCCAGGCTCGCGGGGACTAGAGGGGATATCCATCTGGGATTTTATTGTGTTATATATTTGATGAAGCTTTAACTGCTACTGCTCTGCCTCACGGGGTTCAGGTGTGGCTGGAGATGTGCTGTGAGGTGACAAACTTGATGTCAGTTGGTTAAGCTGGACTAGTTTGACCGGATTCATGAAAAAAAACCATGTTAAATGATTAACTGTGTAGTGAAACAACTTCAGCATCACTGCACATTTGGAAACAGTGTAGTGTGATGGCTACTACAGCAGGAGAAGAAAGGAAAACACCTGCTGCGGTACTGAATATGTAAATGCAATCAACAATCCAAAGACCATCATATGATTTGTCAGAGGAGCATGAGCTGCTGCTGCTGCTGCTGCTGCTGTGGGTCTTAATCAATGCAAACCACAGGTGAAAATACTGCTTTACACAGCTGTGTTTATTATTCGGACATTTGGAATAATTATTCATTATGTCAGCTATCACAGAGTGGAGCAGTGCAGGATGAAGTGGAAACCAAATATATATATATATATATATATATATGCAAAGTCATGCATGGCCGCTGCAAGACAGTAAGTGATGTGAACACAAGCGATTAACACATTCAAACGTTTTAAATCATAATGATCTAGTGTGCAGCACAAACACATTTTATTATTAGTGCAAAGACTTAAAGCTGGACCTCTGTGGGTGCCATTTCAAGTGAAACAGGGTAGTAACACCGTCGTTAGTCTCTGACAGCGAACCACGTCACGGTGGAGGGTGTGTGTGTACACACACATCAATCAGCAAAGTCAACACATAAACATTGCAATGGCTAAACATGCAGATAATCTCTATTTGTTCTGGTGACGAGGCAAGCGACAGGAAGCAGACGCACTCTTTGCTTTACGACACACCACTCCAAGGACTGATTCCAGTGATGCCACATATTATTACGTCTACTATACTATGAAAATCATGTCCTTTACACAATGTTTTCAACAACGATAAGGAGGAACACAATGAAACACTTTGTGTACTTTCCAATTTCAAGATAACTCCCAGTTACACTTAGTGCTCTCTCTGCCATACAAGGAGGTAAACTGATCCAAACTGATGATTAACTCCAGAGCTGTATTTCACATGGTTTTCCCTAAATTTGCTGAAATTGTGCACATTTAACAGATACAAATAATATGACTGCAGCTTTTCAACACTTCATCTACTGTATCAGTGCAGTTGACCATTAATACGATTGGTCATTTGGACGCAAGGTGTCACTTTTGAGCAATATTTAAAAACAAATCATCTAATTAAAATGTGAAAGTCCTGCATTAAAAGTCTAGCAGTAATGCTGATTTATATGACTTAATTGACGCTGATAATGTGATACTGAAGCAGCTCAAAGACACCGATTAAATGCATCAACTGTCAGAGATATAAACAACCGTTTCCTTGATTAGACTATTTAATCAAAATGAACAAATAATCAAACACCAGAACAGCGTTGATCCACTGAGTCTTTGCAGCGAACACCAATCTGTAGCGATGTTTCAAGAGAAACTAATTAGCCACGAGAAACATGTGGCTGACCTTGGATCGTATATCTACTCATCTCCTAACTCTCAGTAATGCAATTGGTGGTGTCAATCTGATCCCAGGTCGGTGCTTTTCGCGCGCTTCTAGTCTGTGACCACGTGTCTCCCTCCGGCCTACCAGCGGACCATGTGGAGCAGCAAGATGGCGGCGCGGTGGAGGGGGAAAGACGGGGATTTAAATGCCGGCAACAGCGACTTTCTGGCCAGCAACACTCCCAATGAGGTACCGGTTTGGTAATATTAGCTGCCTGACATGAAAAATAGCTGCACGCGAGCGGTTCCCCATGTTTTAATAGGGGGTGTTTCGCCGGCGCGCGAGGGCCACATGCGCGCATCGCGACACGTGGCTGGAACAGGCTTGTAGTAGTACTACCGAGGTAGCGACCGGGGAGTTGGCTGAGCTGGTCGATTAATCTGCCGTTTGGCCCGTGCAGCTACGGAAACCTATCGGCGACACGTAACTTAACGTAGTTACCTATTCGCACGTGTTTGACACAAATTTCACCGTCAAAGATTAACATGCGAAAGCTGCCGGAGAGACCGGTTCACTTCTTCTGTAGTACACGGTGTTCTCACAAGGCTGCAGCCTCAGCACAGCCCTGCTCACGGCACTGTCCCCTTTCGTTGTTCTGTCTTCAACTATACTCTAAAATGTGCCGTCCTCGTTTTGCAGTCGCACGTTTAATTTAGTTTCCAGGCAGGCACAGATGTAAACTGCTTTGCTGTCACACAAAAGCGTTGAAATGCCTTCTTACCACAGTACAGGGCCTGAGAGCAGTTGTTTCAACTTCCTAGTGCCGGTGGTGACCCGCCTCTCGGGCTCCCTGTCTCCTCAATCTGTCTCCTACATACTAGCACACTTCTGTCCTGATTAAACTTTGGGAGGGAAAGGCGCTGTTCTTTGACAGCGTCCATGAATTAAGCCACAGAGGTAGTGACACATGTACAGATATGTCTGCTGTTTTCAGTTCTATAGAGCTGAAACTATACTTGATTATTAAGGCTTTAGATCTAGAAACTATATCATTGACTGGTCTCAGATGTTGGTTTTCATCGTCTTTAATAAATTACTCATGATAGTAAACCAAATATCTTTGGTTTTGGACTGTTGTTCTGACAAAACATGACACGTAAATATGTAATCTTTGACTTTCAGTAGTTGCGATCTGATAATTTATGAACCAAATGATTTATCAAGGAATTAATTTACATAGAAATGTCTCATCAATGCACTTATTTATCTTATTACTTTATAAATATAGAGCATTTAGCACCAGCTCTGCCTCACTGTTTTTTTTTTCACTGCTGTATTTGAAGAATTGTCTGATTTGGCAGCGCTTCCTGTTTATGCTGCGAAAGTTCATTTTGAGCTCAGTGCGTCCTGTTCCTCAGCTTCTGGTCGCACCCAGAGGTAGGAGCGTCCTGTGAGATCGCAGGAGGAAGGAGTGGACCAGATCAGTGGGCATTCAAATTTAAAATTCAATAATATTTGTGTGTTTTTGTCCCTGCAGTTGGTCCTGAGCAGAGTGGGAGGCGTGGAGATGGACAGCCAGTCCTGCATCGATCACTCGATCCTGGCCATTTTTGAAGACTCCACTGTCTCGTCAGAGGTCAGAGTTAAAGCCCATCTTCACAGCGCATTAGTCGTTCAACAGATGCCCTCTTCACTGCTGTCGTTTGTTGGTAAAATATGAATTCCGCATGTAAACGAATAAACCTGGATCCTCGCGCTTCCTTTCAGTACAAGAGTGGAGCGGAGGAAGAGAGCGAGACTCTGCTGTCGGCCCTGACCGAGATGCTGGACAGCGTGGAGGACGACGACGGGACTCTGTCTCCCTTTGACACCCTGCCAGACACCAAGCTCCTCAGGGACACCTCAGTGGTGGGTGCACACGCATGAAACGAGCTCTCAACTAAACTTCCAGTTAATTGTATTGAGCGTCATGGTCGTGCTGTTCGAATCCCCATCAACTGAGCGCCTCATGATCGTCTCATGAGTTTGCCTGTTTAATCAGGACTTAGATGGTGGATGAAGTTGAGCAACACGACTGGATAAACAGCACTGACCACAATAGTGATGTATCTGTACAATATTTGTTTAAATATATGATGTCCCATTATTAACATGTCAGCTGTTTTTATTTCTCTCTTCTCTTTAGGAACCATCGCTTGCTGACAGACTGAGACCGAGATCCAAATCACCAAATGTAACCTTCTCAATGAAGATTGATGGAGAAGATGAGAACAAACTGGAGAGAACCGGTCCTCCATCGCTGTTCAAGCGACAAAGTCAAACGTTGTTTCACTCCACAAATAAGAGAGCGGAGGCTGAAGTCGAGGTTTTCACCTCGACTTCTCTCGTCAACCTGGTGAGGCTCATGCACCCCTACTGCCTGAAGCTGCGCGTGGAAGAGGAGGAGGATAGACTGAGGAAGAACCACACGGTGTTCTCTCAGGAAGAGGTGTGGAAGTATGAGAGACCCAGCGAAGAGAGCGATGAAGAGATAAATGTTGTGTCTGATGATGAGGTAACGGGGAAGGACACAAAGGAGGAAGAAGATGGAGCTGAAAAGAGAGCTAATGACATCCTCTTGAAGAGTGTGCTGCTGAATGGAAACTCGTGCAGAACTCCTCCATCCAGAGAGAGAAGAAGCGTGAGCTTTGGCCCCGTCCAAGTGGCTTCATTTGAATCGACAGAAAAGGGATCGAACGAGAGAAATGTAACAACTGGGCACACAAGTGAAACTGCATCAGTTCCACTGAACAGCATCAAAGCACTTGAAAGTCCGCCTGGTTCAGCACTTGAACCCCAAACACTGTCCTCAGAAATGAGCAGCAACAAGGTGGTAGTTCTGTCTCTTAAAGGTGAGACAAAGGCCAAATCGCTCAGCCTCCAGCAGTACAGACAGCTGCGCCAGCAGAGACGGCCTCTGGTGGAGAAGCTGGGAAACTACACCACCATGTGGCCCTGTGTTTCTGAGCCCCCCGAGGGGCTGAACCCCATCCTCTGTCTACAGAGACAAAACAGCTGTGGGCCAAAGGCAGCACACAGTTATCCCGAAGGTAGGAGAAGTGGTGCTGATCAGCTCCGAATATCTCAAACTCCAGGTCACAGGACCCATTGCGTCTCCGCTCTGCCCACGCCTCACCCCTCAGAGCCCAAACCATCCACTCATCTACGCCGCAGCGGATTGAAGCGCTCACGGACCGAATCCAAAATCACCTCATCTGCCGGTCTGCAGCCAGACGTCACAGCCAACCCGACTGTTACTGTGCCTGAAAGCAAAAAAAGTCCAGTAAAGAAACAAACACTGCTCAGTAGTGATCCCCCAAATCCTGTCCTCCTCCCCCTACCGGTTAGCCAAACGGCATCACCAACCGCTGACCCCTCCTCATCAAAGTCCAAAGGGGAGTTCCTCAACAGAGACTCCTACCCTGACAGCACCAGACACTTTCCAGAAATCCAAAATGAACCCTCGGGCACATCTCTTCAAAGACAGCCATCCTCCTCAGGGCCGAAGCCCGAGGTGTTGTTAGTAAACCAGGGCTGCACCGCCCTGTTCCAGGAAATTAAAAACAGGCTTACCGAGATAGCTTCAGGCGTCTCCTCCGGACCCCCAGCGCTGGGCCCAACCGCAACACAAACCAAATCTGCCTCAGGGTGCAAGAAACTGCAGCCTCAAAGAAGCGGTTCGATCCCGACTGAAGAAGAAGCCAAGCTGGAACCAAAGACTCCTCGGTCACCAGGTCCAGATACAGGGAGGCGAATAACGTGTCCTTCCCTCCCTGCTCCTGTAGACGCCCCCATACCAGTAGAGGGGACAGCAACAGCGGACTCAGGTAAACTGTTGACATGTTTGTTTATGTGACTTACTTACATTGAGTTCACTAAGAACTGAGAAATATAAACGGCATCTACAAAATGTCTGTTTGTTCTTCTGCTCCAGGGATTGAAGCACCCGATGTGACCAGCCTGCTGGAACAGTTTGAGGAAACACAAGGTGAGTAATCAGATTACTGACACCGCCGTATTGTCGGATGCTGATGTGCGATCCTCGGGTGACCTCTTGTTGTTCTTCCTCCTCCAGCTAAAGGGGAGCGGGTGTGTGAGAACGAGCCGGAGCCCGAACTCGCTCCTTCACAGTCGGACCTACAAACAGACGGATGCCTGGACTTGGACAGAACTACGCCTGTAGTAACGCAGCGAGCCTCTGTGGAAACACTTGAACCTTTAGGCACTTCAGAATCACCGGGGAACCCAGAAACCCTCGGGAGTTCACCACCTCTTCAAAGTGTCCCAGAGCCCCTCGGCACTGAGATCATCCTCAGCACTCAACAAGATCTGCCAGCAAGACGCAGAAACCCTCCATCCAAGGCCATCCAGATAATCGACCCCCGTCCTCTACCGTCCAGGAAGACCAACACGAGCCTCCCCGCTGCCCACGTCTCTCCTCACACGTATGCATCCGTGTCCTCCGATCACGATTACTGCGGGACCGCCGACCGCTCGCTCACGAGTGTTCCTCAGCGCAGCAGAGCCTCTAAACCCAAGGATGCGTCTCCAACCTCTGATGAATTGCAGGTGACGACCCACGACTCGAGTGCTGCTGCTGAATGCAAAAAGCCGACCTCCACCGGCGAGATCAGCGCCGCCGTCGGAGCCGTCGATAACTCTGCAGTGACGCAGCGTCTCTCTGAGCAGCCCGGGACGAGCCCGTCCACAGACATCGTTCTTTCGGACGTTGCTTCCACAGAGCCAGACTGCGTTTGTGCAGCTGAAGTCGAGACGCCGTCATGCACGCTCCCCACGCCTCCACCCAGCCCTCCTGCCAGAGGCAGGGAGAAAGGAAGATATCGGAGAAGATCTCCTCGTTCGGACTCCAGCTCCAGCTCTCCTTCCTCGTCGTCCTCCTCCAGCGCTGCATCTCCCTCTCCAAAAAGACAAAAGTAATCCTCTTCTGCTGTGTTCAGCATTCGTCTTCATTTGTCCTCTTTGTGCTTCTCTCCTGATTCTTAATTTGTCCGTCTTACAGGCACCGCCACAAGCGTTCAGAGAGCAGTTCCTGTTCGTCGTCGTCATCCCCCTCTCGCTCCCCACGTCGGCGCTACAGATGGTCTTACTCCAGATCGAGGTCGAGCAGGTCCAGATCCAGATCTTGGTCCCAGTCTAGGTCCACATCCAGATCCCGATCGCCATCCCCGCGGGTTTGCCGTAGACAGTGGACAGATGTTTACAGGTCAGTTCTAGTTTTCCATTCAGACATTTAAAGGGAAATTAAAATATACAACGGTGTTCCTTTTTTGCGTCAGTTTGCGTCTCGTCTTTCGGGCGTTACTGAGTTCATGAGTGTAATCTCGGTTTCCGTCTTCCTCTCCTACAGCAGCAGAGAGTCCAGGAAGCTCAGGAGAGAGCACGAGATCAGGATCCAGAAACTTAAAGCCATCGTGAGTGAAAGATGACCGACATGTGTTTGTGTTGTTTTGGTTACGTAATGAGTGGCGAGTAATTCTGATAATCCTCTCGCACAGGACGAGCGCAGGGTGGTGTACGTCGGCCGCATCCGCGGGTCGATGACGCACGACGAGCTGAGGGAGCGGTTCTCTCAGTTCGGAGACGTAGAGTGCGTGTCGCTTCACTTTAGAGACAGAAGGTGAGAGTATACAGTTGAAGTAGATGTTTTTACAGCCTTTACGGTGTTTTTTTGTACTATCCATCTGTATCTGTTGGTGTCAAAACACTGCACCTTTGGCTCCCATAGTGACCACTACGGATTTGTCACATTCTACAACATGGACGATGCTTTTGCAGCCATCGATAACGGCGGGAAACTCCGGAAGCCGGATGAGCTGCCGTTTGACATCTGCTTTGGTGGAAGAAGACAGTTCTGTAATTCACACTACGCTGACCTAGGTGAGACTCAAAGTAACTCTAACTCTGTGTGTTTTTTATTGCAAGCTGCACCATTAAAACTATGACATAATGTTCCTTGTAGAATGTGAATTTATTGATTCAAATTTTTGAACGCATTTCCAGAACAGCGACACAAGAAAAATGTGTATTTTTTTACATGTTTTTAAATGTCCATCTCTCCCTCAGACGCAAACAGAGATGCAGAGCCGGCTCCTGCCAAGACCAGGCCCGAGGACCTGGACTTTGATTCGCTGCTGAAACAGGCCCAGAGAGGAATAAAGAGGTAGCAGAGCCGTTTGAGAGCACAACAACACAATGTAATGCAGCAAAGATGAAAACGGGTTTTGTTCATGAACCTCAGAGCTTTATGCTCGTACTCATGTAGCAAACTTTTGTATGGAAGTCTGTTCTTTTTAAATGTTTTGACTCTTAATACGCATGCAGTTTCTGATGTGCACAGTTAATATGAACAAATATGTAGCACTGTTTATTTCATAACATGCTATCAGTGGAACCCGCTAAAGATTTGTGTTTCATTCCACAACACTTATATATATTATGTTTGAAAATATATATATATATATGTTATGGAAAGAAACACCAATAGTTAGCGGGTTCCACTGCAAGCTTTGAAAGAAATAAACAGTGCTACATATTTGTTCATATTCACTGTGCACATCA